CAATATAAACATGGATGTTTAGTGTCAGTTGATATCTTAAAAGTGAAACTGCTTTCTCCACTGTCTCAACCTGTTCCAACTTAATACAAAAAAGAGTAAAAAAATAATAGGAATAATGTAGGAACATAATATGTAAATGTACTGATTGTGGATCAGAATGTGTGGTGGATAAATGGATTTTATTCTTATGTTATTGATTAGAATGAGGCAATTTTTTATTTTGAAAGAGAATGCTTTGATCATCCTATTGAGCTAAAAGTCATTTTTTTTCACACTGATTAACAAATTTTATTGATTTATCTTCAGTAACCAAAATTTGAAGATTTTAGACAAAAGATGATTTTTAACAGGAGAAAAAGTTTATTTTTCAAATAAACTTAGCCACTTTTCATTCAAGTTAATAGTATTTTTATTGACACATTGGCTTTGCAGGTCACAAAATTAATGTTGAAATGCAATTGATAATCATCAATTCACAACTTGTTAAATGATATACCATTCAACACTTTTTGGGAAACTTATACGTCATTTAAAAAATTATATTTGAAGTAGTTTTTAAAAAGCATATAAATGCCACTATAATTGGCATATAGATAAGTGTTCCATCATTCCAATCTGGATAAAAGAAAGTTAAGTTATATACTTAATAACCTCAAGCCTTAAAATTCATATCAGAAGGCAACTGAAACATGGATGGCACTTTATATTATATTATTTTTCAGGTTCTTTATGGTTCATATCTAGACAAGGAAAACCTCTCATGGTCTACATATTTCTCATGAAATAATAAGAATAGTGACTCACATTTTGTATAAAAACAGAAGCCTCAGATTATTATCAGCAGCTAAGATACCCTTCAATATATATATGTTAAAAAGAAGAAATTAGGGAGAAAATGAATGCTGTTCACATTAAAATATGTCAACTTTTCACTAATAAACAAGAAGGATATTAGAGAAGTAAATCATTACAATATATATATATATATATATATATATATATATATATATATATATATATTTAGCTTACAACTAAAAGAAATAAAGATCCTTGTCTTTTAAAGTACCAAAAAAGTTTGACTGAAAATGAAGATTCACACTTATTTGCTGCCTTCATCAAATGTCATTCAAATTTATTCATATGTGTACCTGAGCCTATAAAGTTTCTATTGAGTTACTAGTTTCAAAATAACCTAAGTTGCTTAGTTATTCACTAAATTTGGGGAAATCATTGACTGCTTTAAAGTTTCAAGCAGTCTGTGGAACTGTAACAAAACTAGTGTAATAACAGAAGTGACATGATAATGAAAGGAACCAAATGAGTTGAATCTGTTATTTAATCAAAATGCATGACACCCACAAAATAAATAATTAACAATATGTTTTTTTTAATAAGGATACAGAGTATAAACTGAAATTTACCCAATATACTGTTCATATGAATATAAGTATATTCTGAATATTTTACCAATATTGGTTGATTAATACCAAATTTGACTTGCATAATAAAACTATATGGAGATAGGTTTGAAATAGGTTTGTTATGCAAGAATAACACACACACACACACATATATATATACTGACCTGCATGTATGTGTTTTTGCATATACATGAATTATATTAAGATATTTTTTATGTTTATACGTTCTTTTTATAGATAGAAATATTTAAGTAAATGCTCTTTTTATAATAAACAGTATTAATGACATTTACTGGCCTGAATATCCAAGAAATTTTCATAGAAAATATATGTCCTCTGACAGGAATCAAACCTGTAACCTATATGGAATCATCATATAGTCTGATGTGCTTTTTTACCAATTGAGCCACAGGAGAGCGTTTCAGTTAGCAAGGTTGATTTTACTGTTATTAAACTACAATTCTCCATGATTTTCTCTCCTACATTCATATCTGCATTTCGGTTAGCTCAATCAGTAAAAGCACGTCAGGCTATATGACAGTTCCATATAGGATACAGGTTCGATTCCTGTTGAAGGATGCATATTTTCTATGAAAATTTCCCGGACATTCAGGCCGGTAAATGTCATTAATACTGTTTATTATAAACAGAGCATTTACTTAAATATTTGTATCTATAAAAAGAACGTATAAACATAAAAAATGTCTAAAAATAACTGTCGAAGTTTGTCCATTTCATATACATGAATGTATATTGTGTTGTGCTATGGTATATAAGTGAGTAATATTTTGACTGTGCATTCATATTGTACATATTTACATGCATCAAAGATTGAACTATTGCCCTAAATCTGCAGGGAATTACTTTGCAATGAGTCAAAACATAACACACACACATGCATACATACACACAGAGAAATCCCTTCTCCCTGTTTTTGTCTGATTTTACCTTTTATTCTCCCTTGCTTTGCAGCCTTGTTTTCAGTTTCTTTCTCTTTTCTTCTTCCTTTCATTCATTTTATCTTTTTATCTCTGTCTTCCTTTCTCTTTTCTTACAATTTTCTTTCAATTCTCTATTCTTTTTCTCTCTTGTTCATTTAAATATTCTTTTTGTTTTGTTCTCTCTTTTTTCTTCTCAGTCTTTGATTTCACTCTCTCTCTCCCTCTTTGAATTTAAGATCTTGATTGATCCATTTTCTTTCTTCAACACTCTTTCTTTTGAAGTTTTATTTCTCTCTTGTCTATACTTTTCCACCCATTCATTTCTACCTCGTCCTTCCTGATTAGCATTTTTCTTTTTTTCTGTTTGTTTTTCTTTCTTTCATTTTTTTACTTCCTTCATTTCTCTTTTCCTTCCTTCCTTCCTTCCTTCTTTCATATCTTTTTTTTTCCTTCTTTCTTTCATTTATTTTTCCTTCTTTCTTTCATTTATTTTTCCTTCCTTCTTTCATATCTTTTTCCCTTCCTTCTTTCTTTCATTTATTTTTCCTTCCTTCTTTCATTTATTTTTTCTCTCTTTCATTTCTTTCTTTCCTTCTGTTTCCTTAATTTCTTTCTTTTCTTCCTCAATTTGTTTCCTTTCCTGTTCCCATTCTGTTCTAATATCCAGATTCATCAACAGTGGTCAACTTTGATGGCATATCTGATCCTTGATCCTTATCCATCCATTCTGCCAACTTGATTTCTTTCTCTTTCCTCCTCTTTCCACACACATCACCCCTAAATTCTCCTACCTCCTTGAGCATTATCCTAGTCTCATTCTTCTTCCTAGGACAACAACTGCATTCTGCTGAGTCTTTCTCCTGCTGTCTGCCATCAGAAGCTCTGAAGATAGGCAGCATCAAGCTGACAGGGACAAAGAAGATGAAGAAAGAGTTGATCAGAAGTAGAGACAGTAAAAGATAAAGAAACCAGACAAGACTAGGGCAAAAGAAAGTAATTTGGTAGAGTGGAGTTGAGTAAAACTGGAAAGATCCTCATTTACTTTCCTTTCTAAAGAATGTTATCTGGCTTCACATACATGCAAACATACAAATATGATATCCTATGTGGGTGATTAATCCTCACCCTCGTACTTACCCTTTCTCTTGGGTCTTGTTTAAATCACACCATCCCAACTCTTCCTCCTTCAAGGCTGATCAACAAACTGATAATTTTCACACCCAATATTTTTTAGGTAGAAATAACACATCATTAATCATGCAAAAAGCATTCAAAATGAAAATTAAAAACATTATATATCTCCTATATGTTAGTATATACGCCTGAATTTATTTCCATGTATGTGCAACTTTTGGTCTGTATTTTGTGTAGAAATAACTTCCTATTAATATAAATAAATGGATATTTATTATGCTTCAGCTCATCTGAAACAAAGTCATAAAGATGGAACACTTAATGGAATCAAGATCACTAGCAAAAGCTTGTGATACTAACCTATTTAAGTTGTGTAAAGTAAATACATACATGTGCATGTATACATAAAGATATATAATGTCATCTATGTACAATTTCTATTCATACTGTTTCTAATTTCTCTCTCTCTCTCTCTCTCTCTCTCTCTCTCTCTCCAAATATACAATATATATATATATATATATATATATATATATATATATATATATATATGCAAAGTTTTTTCAGTCATTTTCATCAATTCTAGTGTTGACTGAGTTATCTCCCTTTATTTTCGTTATTTCTAATTATTTTTCTTGTTGTCCCTGATGATTCTTACATTATTTCATCAATTTGCTAGTCACACATTTTATATTATTTTTGTTATTTCACAAAGCCTGGAATCTATTCTTGAAATTCTACCAGAACCTTCTCTCTGATCATATGAAGATATGTTTCATTCTGTGAATCATATTGTTTCTCTCAATTTTAAAGTCAAATTTTACTATGACCTGATGATCACTTCTAATATTAACTAGGCTTATGACAGTTACATCTTTTAGAGTATTGGTTTTGCTAGCTTGAAGCAAAATTATTTTTTTCCATTTGGGTTGATTCATAATTGTCTTTCTGAGGAATTAACTAATATTTCTCCTCTCTCACCTCTTTTTCCTATTCTAAAGTTTTGTAAAAAAATTTTTTCTCTCTGTAGTGCTACAGAGAGAAAATATTACTTGATTAAATAATATTCTTACCAATATAGGATCTGTAAAACTCTTCAACTTCTTCATTAAACTTTTTGAAGTTCGAACTTATTTTTATAAATGTTAAAATTCTAATTTAAATTAGAATTATAACATTTATAAAATATGTCACAAGGAATTGAATAAAACCTTTTTCTTATTGTGATTGGTAACATTAAAGTTCCTGGTGGTGCTGAAAGTACTGAAAGAAAGACAACATGAATTTTTCACAGTTTCTCCATAAATTTTATCTGGATGTGTAAGAGCTTATATGCAAACTGGAATACAACAATGCATTAAGCAGACAGATTTTGTCTGTCTGTCTCACTCACTCTCACTCTCACACACACACATGCACACACGCATGCATGCACACACACACACAGAGTTGCTGGAGAGAAGAAGAGATACACACACAATAAGATATAGAGAATGAGAAATACAGGGCAAGAAAAAAAAAGACAGGAAAGTAGGAGAGAGAGAGAGAGAGAGAGAGAGAGAGAGATAGAGAGAGAGAGAGAGAGAGAGAGAAAGACTGGAGAAAGTGAATGATAAAGAGAGACAAAAGAAGAGATAGTTAAAAGAAATAGAAGAAAAACTTTGAGAAAACAAGGAAGATGAAAACAACAGAATGAGAAACATTACAAGAAAGTTAGGGACAAGAAATGTGAGACAGAATAGAATGTGAGTTTTGAGAGAGAGAAACAAAAGAAAAAATATACATACCAAGAAAATAAAGAATGAGGCAATAAAAAAATAAGGAGACAAAATAAAAGAGAGGAAGAAAAGAAAAGAAAGAGAGCAGGACAAGATGGAAGAAAGGTACAAAAAGTAAGAGACAAATCACAGTAATTATCATTTTGTATTTTTATGTACTAATCACTGTTTGAACAACTATATATGAGAACCTTCATTCTTATTAATATATTTCTTTAACATACTTACCTAAAGATCTAACATACTTATGTAGACAGAGAGAAAAATAGCTCTTTAAGCTGCTTGCAGGTACATGGAGATTAATATGCACCACCCACCTATGTGCCTGTATTTTAGCAGTTTATTTTTTTACTGAAGAATATTTCAAACACACATACACACACACATTCACAGTGTAATTTTAATGTGGGTGGCTGTGCATGATTGTATATGTAAATTCATGCAAACAATAGCAGAAATAAAGACATATTTGTAAATCAGTTATACTTATTTTATAGTGTGGGCCATATATATATATATATAATATATATATATATATATATATATATTCGGGCAGCAATCTTTCACTTATACATATATAAACTGAATATGATAGACAAGGACTAAGTTTTATGTAGTTTCCATTGTTTACATACAAGGGAACAAATTGATTTAAAATTCATAGATCTCTGGTCATCATCAGAAACAAAATATACAGGTATTATTTGTCAGGAGGAAATGAAATGATGAACTCAAACTGGTGGTGTAATTGTGTTTGATATCAAAATTTAAGAATTTTGTGTTAGAAGATGTCATTGGAAAAATAAAAATATGGTTGACCTGTGTGTGTGTTGGTAGCTTTATTCCTGTAACATGAATTTTCTAAGAATTCTTCTGTTAGATCATTTATTTTTAGTTATTGAAAATATTAAAAACTAGCCTGAAGGATATCTTATTTAATGTATTTTTCATTTTTGTTAAGTTTGTAAATAATGTATAAATTGTAAGTTTTATCAATCATTATGGATTTTATATTGGCATGAATATTATCTTTGATTTAGTTAAGTCAATGATAAGTTCATCTTCAAGAGAGTATTGGGGTGGTGGTGTTTTTGTTGAAATCAAATTTTGTGTTTTGGTGAGAGTTTGAGAAATACTTCTTGTTCATTGGTAGTAAGAAAAATTGAGGAAATTATTTTATGAGTTTGAAAAGAATATTTTTCTGTTTTTGAGGTTGTTCAGTTTTTGTTTTTGTGAAGTCTATGAACACATTTATCATTATGAATAATTTACATCTGTTTATTCTGGATTTGGTTGTAGTTTTTTATGGTGGCATCTTTCAAAATAAATAAAAATCAAAGAACTTTTTAAAAATCCATGTTACAAAGCAAAAGATATCAACACTGTAACCAATACTTTTCCTTGATTTTTCCAATAATGTATTTTGATGTAAAATTATTAAGCCATAATATTCTCTAACAGAAACACAGATATGATGTCAGCTTAAGTACAACATTTCATCTTCCAACAAATTCTGACAAATAAATTATATTTTGTTACTGAGAATGACCAGAAAATGACTGAAATCACTAAAATTGGTGCTAATAACCATGGACAATTATTTCTGCATGGTGTCCAACAAATAAAAGAAGCTACATTAAAGATTAACCTAATGTTATTTGTATAATGTATTCAATACATTCACATATATGAAGGGCTGTTGAACAGTTCTTGGTCTGACCATAAAGCCCTTAAAAAAAGCATTCTAATATTTGGGCAGATTATTAGAAGTGTATTTAACTGAGAACTTTTCAGCTGTGTGTGAACACAGAACTCGCATAAAAATTTGAAATAGTATGAGTGGAAAGTTAACTTTTTAATTTGTAAGATTTTCAGCTTAACTCTTAGGGTAAAAGTGCAAAATCTTTCTATAACATTTTACATTTTATAACTTTCCTTTTGAAAGCAAAACAGGCAAGAATAAGATTTTTTCTTTGCACACTTTTCAAATTATTTGGCTCATTTGAGTGAATTGATTCAATAAAAACTTTGCTTTTTACAAGATTTTGTTTTATCTTTTATATCATTTCAGTATTTGAAGTTGTATGTTTGTGTGCTTTTATACATATAAGTAGAGATATTATGCTGCTAAGTTTAGGATGGCACAAGGCCAAATTAGTGGCTGGGAGTAAGGCAATGTCCTTCCTGCTTTGAAATTGGCACTTAAAATTATATATATATATATATATATATATATATATATATATATATATATATGTATGTATGCATAAAGGGAAAGAGAAAAGTAAATAGATATTAATTGACATGATTGTTAGTTTATGAAGAATAGAAGTGACTTCTTCTGCATATTTATAGAAATACAGACATGTAAAAGAAGAATAAACAATCAAAGAAATATATATATATATTTCCATTAAATTTGTTTACTGAAACTCATATGCACGTGTGTGTGTGTGTGTTGTGTGTGTAAAATGTAATCTGCCAAATACTTTTCAAGATGCCAGAATTCAAAAAACAAAGAAAATTTTTCTAAATAAAAATCTGATAAAAACAAAATCCAGTAAAAACAGAAATTTCAGACAGCAGCCATTTTGGTTCTTTGATTTTCAACTAAAGACTATTTTGGTTTCGTACTGAAAATTTGGGAAAGAGTGTAAGAGAAAAAATTTCAAATAATTGTTGCCATTGTTTCTCAGTTGAAAAACAGTGCAAACCAAAAGTGACAGATTTTATCCTGAAAAAGATATCTTCCTACTTGGAAAATTGTGTATGAAAGATGAATTTACTTATAAAAAGAGGAGGAAGAAGAAAGGGAAGTATGAAAAAGAAGATAAAAAGAAAAAGAAGAAAAGAAAAGAGAAAAAAAAGCAAAAAAATTAAGAAGAAAAAAGGCTAAAAGTGTGAATAAAAAGAAAGAAAAATAAAATGTAAAGTGAAGGAAGAACAAATCTGAAAGAAAAATGTGATGAAAGACATGGAAGAAAAGAAGGAGATCAAGTGTAAAAACAAGAAAATCTCGTTTGTTTTCAAATCAGTTCTTTGAAGATTCTTGTTACATGTTGCAGAGCTTGGACATATATTTTTTCCTGCCTTTGTGAGAACAGGAAAAAATTATTTTCTGACTAAAATACATAAAGCAAGAAAGAAAATAGTGAAGAATCTTTATCAATGATAAAAGATCAAAACATTGCATGAAAGAATTTTTCCTCCTCTTTGGAAACTATTAATATAACCTTGTCTATTTTCCATCCAGAGATTTGTAAGGTTGTTTTATGTGTGTTTTACTAACCTTAAAAACAGCATCAAAGTGAAAGGTCCACTATGATGAAGAATCTACACTTTGTGTGTGATTTCTACCTTACATTCTGACACTTAAAACTACCTTTAGTCAGGGAGCTGGATTTCTGTTCTTGTTTGAAGAAAAATATTTGATATATTTCACAGTCTATCCATTTATCTATCTCCATCCATTCATTCTGTTTGTCTATGTTTTCATATTCATATTTGCCTCTGTGTCAGTCAGTACATATCTATCTATGTTCAAATATATTTAATTCTGCTCATATTTGTTTATCTTTGTATGTACCAAACTCATTATATTTATATCTATCTATGTTCTATTAATTGGTGCACTACCAGTTGCCATATAGAAAGTAATTTTAAAAAAGAAAAAATGTAATAAGTAAATGTTGAAGTCACTTGCGTTTTGGGTGTATATGTTTCAAGAAAGCTGTTACTAACATACAGAATTAAACTAATTTTTTGGTTGCATATTTAGGAAATATAAAATGAATCAGGTTATTGGTCCAGTGATATGTCAACTTATCTGATTATAATAAGCCCTTCTAAATTTAATCATTCTCAGAAATAGCATTATTTCTACAGAATTAAGAATTTGGCTAAAGATTTACAAAAATAATATCAAAGTGAAAATTTCACAAAAGAAAATGTTTTGACAAGTAAAAATAAAAAATAATCATCTGAAAAAAATATACATTTGTTTTACTTATCATGTGTTAAAAACGATTTTTTTCTCAGAATAGAATAAATCCTTCTGTAAGTGAATTACTGCACCAGAAATTGTGATTAGTTTTCTTGATTTGAATAAAAAATAGGCAGATAGTTTGACCATTGTTGGTCTTCCTGCTACCAGTTTTATTGTTATTCATCTAAAATCAGAGACATGAACATGATACATTTGGGTAAGCAATAAGATTAATATAATTATGGTCAAATCTCTTAGATAAAACACCACTGATTGCTATTAACTTTTGACAAATATTATTTTCATCTATTTTCAGTTGCTTTTATTGCAATTCTCAGATTGTTATTATATGTCAACAACATTATCATTATAGAAGTCATCTTTATTTTTGTCCTCTGTCAACTCAATCTGCTCTCTCTTTTTTCTTTTATTTCCTGCTACTTAAAACATTTCTTAATCTATAAACATTATTCAGCATATTGTTGATACTTGGAACTTCCCAAGTCATACTGACAGTTATCAGAAACATCTTCAGAAATTTTGGTGTGTATATGTACATATAAATGTGTGCATGTGTGTGTATGAAGAGGAAGAGAGAAAGAGTGAATGATGAAGTCATTTTTTAACCATGGATAAAGCAATGAAACATGTTATTATTAAAATCAGTTAGATCCCAAAACACTTTGTTTACAATGAATTAAAATGTAAATCAATGTAAATTTTTTTATAACAATGAATTTAAAAAAGAATTTAAAACAACATAAATTGTTATCATTTTATTCTTTGCTTAATGTTAACAGCTGGTTATTGTTATCCAAAAAATCTTATCCAAAAGTGACCATAGTAAGTAGTTTCCTCTTTCTTTCTTCAAATGACATCTCTTCTGACAAAGTTTCACAGACACAGATCCACTCACTCAGATAAGCTAAATCTATTGAAGTTAATTGATTTACCTTATCTTGACAAGTAGATCTGTATCTCTGTGAAACTGCAAGTCAGAAGTCATTTGAACTTTTATTTATCTATTCACTACTGTTCCTCTAGTTTTAATATTGAGCACTTTATTTGCAAAATCTGTTCACTTTGAATGTATTATCCTCCATTAATTTACTGGTTGACATAATTTGCTATGCAGAAATAATCTTTGTTATTACTAC